GATAAATCACTTATTTATATTGACGTTTTATATTCACAAGAGGAATGAGATGGTTTATTGAAATTCATTGGATTTAGGATTAACTCAACTTCAGTTTTAAGCCAGATTAAAGCGTACCTTTTTAAAAGGTAAGGAAGATTTCAAATCTGATACTGTAATAAATATTTGCTTTAAAACACGAGTAAACATTTGACTGATATGAACATAATTATGATGATGTTTGAGTTTGAGAATGAAAAAGCATTAAAAATAGACAATGTAGCACATATTTCGACATTTATGGGTCACTTATGGCCAATATTGAACTGAACCAAAATTAAAATACTCCTTTGATGAGGACCCGCTACACTAGAGGCAAACCTAAAAAATCGTGGTGGCCCGGAGGTTAAGGCGCCCGCTTCTCATGCATGAGGGTTCGAAACCTGGCAAGTACCAATGTGACTTTTTCAGAGTTATATGTACTTTCTATGATTATTTAGACACCACTGACATACGGTGAGGAAACCTGGACTTATAATGTTTCATTATAAGTTTGAATCGCCAACCCGTAGGTATTGAGCAACCCTGATGAGAAGAGGCCTTTGCTCAGCAGTGGGTACTTATAGGCTGATGATGATGACACTCCAGGAGTTGCAAGTGCCTTTGCCAGCCTTTTGAGGCGTATAAGAGATGTTGAGGTTTTGGGGATTGGGGAGAGAAGAGGGGAAAAATCAGGCCTCCGGTAACCTTAATAACAAATTCTTCACAAGACAAAAAAAAACAATGTACTTAAAGTGTTCCCTTCTAACTCGACTTTTAATCTCTCGATAATTTACTAGTTGGTTTACTTATAATTTAATAGTTTTTGAATGACTGCAAGGAGAGATTCCGTATAGAAATATACAGTACCTCTGTTTCTGTATATGTTTTCCTATGTACTGTATGTATGATGTGCAAAAATGATAAATAAATAAATAGGATTCGCTGTTTACGTGAACGTAACTATCTAGCCAGATTTATCCAGATCAGAGCTAACTTAGTGAGCGTAACAACGGTAGTATAACATCTGTCAATTCTAATTTCGCAAATTAGGATCAATTCTAATTATTAGGAAAAGTCGTTAGTAACCTCAAGGTCAATGTCGAGATTACTCGTGGTTTTGTGGGCGGACGTTTCGTTCAACATTTATACAATTACACTGGTTGACGTCCAAACTCATCTTACACGACATTTCAAAGTAAACGATATTGAACTATAATAATTATTAATTATGATCGTAATTCCAAAACACGAGGTATTTGCTTAGAAATTAAGGTGACAGTTTTCAGTGGAAATTCAGCCTTTATCTCAAACTGGAGTTGCTGTCAGTAGTTGGTTGAAAACAGCTGAACATCGACCTCAGTGGCGTGCAATTGAAGAGGCCTATGAACAGCAGTGCCCAGAAGCAGGCTTATGATAGGCCCAGAGAGTAAGACAAGACCCCTGCTTGCCCCATCCAGGGCAGAGGATTCACGTAAGGAGGATAAATCAATCCTCCTTAAAAAGATTCAAATAACTAACTTCAACTAAATTTACAAACGCTTTAGAAGTTTTGTGGTCCCACAAAACATAAAAATATCATTTTCTTTTCCATGGTGTTACCATGGATAGAACTGGGAGTCAAAAACTTCGTACCTATGAACACACAGGCTATGCTGCCAGTCTTTTGGGAACGTTCCCCGATGACAGTGATGAATTCTTTGATACCTAAATCAATCCTATTTTCCCTCCTTACTTATTTTTATTAATTTACCAGTTCATTAAATCTATCATCGTATTTAGTTGTAGTCATAATCACTATATGTGTTAAAATTTTCCTTGTAGTATTGTAGGCGGGCGGATAATTCGCAACTTTCAAACCAAACCTACGCATAATTTGCTCGAAACGATAGTGATTCAGAATAGCCATGTCAGTGTTGACGTGATTGTCGATATTGTGGCAGTGAACATAAGGTATATCATGACTCGTGTTATTTAGATTTTAGTCATGCTGTCTGTTTCTAACTTTTATGTCAAATGTGCATCATTCTATGATTTCACTAGTGTTAATTAAGAGTAAATACTAATGTACTGCCTTGTTGAGATGATTATGAAGGCTACATCTGATTCGCTTTCGTGTTTGATTTTCGAAAATCTTTAGTGCCTGGATTTATTAGTAGTATTACTACAGTTATTCTGGATCTATGAGTATGATTTAGGAGTAATCTCTCAAATGGTATAATTTTCTAGTATTCGCAATTTGCATTCGGGAAATTTCCGTGTTACTTGGAACTACGCTTGAAGAATATCAATAAACGAACCAAATATTACATGGATTTCATGTGTAATAATACAATTGCCGGAACGTGAGTTTTACAATTAGCATAATTATATACGTTTGCTTATTCCAAAGGGTTTTTATGGGATATGGTAACAAGCTATCGACGGATCACCTGTTCTGAATATAAGTAATCGGTGCTGCCCATGGAGTACCGCTACACAAGGAATTTCAAGTGCCTTAGTGGTTTTCTGGGGGTTACGAATTAAAAAATTTTTAGAATTCTAGATTAGGAATGCGGTGATAGGATTCGGCCCCACCAGCAATTCAATGCACACTGAAATAGGTAAGTCAATTTAAGAAAAAAATAACACACTGAAAAAATGCCTTAATTAAATTCTGTCGGACAGTCCATTCATATTCATGGTAAACTCGTATTGTTACGCTCCACAAACTTAGAGAGAATACAAATCCTACATAAATTACGTATAAATTATGTTCTCAACAAATGAAACGGATGTGTATATTTACTGTAACGCCTGAGGCTTGTTACTGAAGCCCCTTTACCTATGTTTATTTCGGAACATGTTTAACAGACAGACTGACACAATAACAATGAAATGAATTACTAACGTGAGTCAGATACAGGAAACGTGTTATTGGCGCGCTTCAAAGCGACAGACAAACAAACTATCATTTGTAGATGTGCAATTCGAACATTTTGCTAATATTAGGCTCAACCCAGTATTACGTAAAGACTAAACTTTGAGTCTTGATTACATTTAATGTACCTTTATAAATACTTTAATGCTGTGGTGGCCCGGAATAATGATGAGCCCGCTTTTCATGCTTGAGAAGTAAGGAGTGAGGGTGCGGATTCGAACCTGGGAAATACCAATCTAACTTTTTCCAACTTAAATGTAATTTTAAGATTAGTTAGACACCATTAACAAACGGTGACGGAAAACGTCGTGAGGAAATCGTGACTTATAATTTCCAATTATAAGTTTGAAATAGCCAACCCGTTTTGAGCAAGCGTGGTGATTAATACTCGTTCCTTTTCCGTCTGAGAGAAGATCTTTGATCGGCAATGTTTAGTTATAGGCTAATAATGCTGACGATAATGATGATTAACATTTTTCAGACCTACCTAAAGGCAGAAATACATAACTTATATAACTATAACTATAAATGTAACTTTAACATCGCCGTGTTGCGAAGTGAAATATATTTCTCTTCCCACAGCTGTCATAAGAAATGAGTAACCGACTAAATATTTAAGTAAGAGGCCGGGCAGCTCACTGCTCTCTAATAATTATGATCCTCTGTAGCTCGCCTACCAAGCATGAGGTTTTTTATTTTCACTTTCCACGGTTACTAGTAGGTACACTGTTATGAGTTTTAGTAGTTGGTGCATACAAATTATAGTACCTAATTTACCTTACTCGAGTATAATACTTAATGCTATAAATAATAGAAATATTTAAAAATGTACTAAGTATATTACAAAGTACAAAGGCCTCCCCCTTAGCTCTCCGCGTCGAACAACAAGTTGCCACTTTCATCCACTGGCTCCCCGCGACTCTGACGATGTCGTCGGTCCACCTAGTGGGAGGCCTGCCCACACTACGTTTTCCGGTCCTTGGTCGCCTTGGAGAGAGAGAGAAGAGAGAGCCTAAGAGGGAGGCCTTTGTCCAGCAGTGGACGTCTTCCGGCTGATGATGATGATGATGATGATATTACAAAGAAAACTTACAATATTTACAACACTAAGTGTGGGAGAGCCATGAAGTATGGGAGAGTCATGCTTCGGCACGAATGGGTCGGCTCGACCAGAGCGATACGAGTGATACGAATAGCGAACGGCCTCACAGAAAACCGGTGTGAAACAACCACAGCGTTGTGTTTCACCGTGTGAGTGAGGTTACCGGAGGACCAATCCTTCCCCTTCCCCAATCCCTCCCGAGTCCCTAAATTTCCAAATCCCCAATCCCTAAAAGGTCGGCAACGCACTCATAACTCCTCGGTTGCGGGCGCTGTTGTTCATGGGCGGCGCTGATTGCTTACCATCAGGTAATCCGTCTGATCGTTTGCTGACTTATTACATAAAAATAATTGTATCTATTAGTATTCACCATCCTGTGATTTTAACAAGCAGATGTAATATGTCAAAACAGCACCAAATGTGTTTCAACATTACTAGAGAAATTCTTTAATGTTGTTACATTATGGATTACATTATTGTTCTTTTTTTTATGTAATAAGTCGCCAAACGAGCTGACGGATTACCTGGTGGTAAGCAATCAATGCCGCCCATGGACACCCGCAACGGAGGAGTTACGAGTGCGTTGCCGACCTTTTAGGCATTAGGGATTTGGGGACGGGTCCGGGAAGGGAAAGGATTGGGCCTCCGGTAACCGCACTCACACTGCGAAACATAACACTGTGGTATTTTCACGCCGGTTTTCTGTGAGGCCGTGGTATCACTCCGGTCGAGCCGACCCATTCGTGCCGAAGCATGGCTTTCCCACACTTACTTGTTCTATAAATAAATTGTTGTTCCAGTAAAGATTATTATTATTATTTGTATGTCTTTACCGATCACGAGACCACAGGGTCCCGGCCATTTGGGAGGCGTACGAGGGGCCGGAGCCAACTGCACAGAGGCCCCTTAAAATTATTATTATCATTAAAATGAAATGGAAATGAAACAAAAACTATGTCCACAAAGCCAACATTTTATTTATTTTGATATTATAATACATTTTGATAATACGACAGTGGTACATCAAACAATGTCCTCAACATTAACTTTCTTTACAAGAAGCTCTGAAACATCAGTAGTCCACATACAAACCAACGCGTGGAGACTGAACGCCATCTTTTTTATATTAATACAAATATAACGTCAATAAATAAATAGTGTAAAAGCATAATTACGTATCGTTGTTTCATACATTGTTTTTCACTTATTTTAATGGGTACAATAGGTACATATTTCCTAAAATTTCCTGAGCACCGTATTGGAAGTACAGAATTTGTAACGAGTCAATCGTTAAAGAAAGCACTGCCTTTATTTATATGTAATTATTTTACAAATTTAAGGAAAAGAGTAAGTATCTTAACTTTTTAAATTTTTAATCCTTAAGTGAACCGTTATCTTTGTGTTTCTTTATTACAAACTTTTTTATTTTTGTACTGGGATGAATAGAAAGAAAAAGAAGACAAACAATACAACTCCTCTCTAATAATACTTTTAGAACCGTAATCAGCAAAATGGACAAATATACTATATAAATTATGATCAGATCAGACGATGTTAAACAATTCCGTATTGTAGAGACCATCGAAATTTTTTACTATTTTACTAAAGATATCATTCGTTATTTTTTGAAATGATAAGTCATTATCATTTTTATCATTCATTAGTTTGGGATAAAGCTCCGTCAGTTTACATTGAGAAAGCATAATGTAACTACAATTTTCATTTCCTACTTAACCTGGTACACAAATAATGAAACAGCATTTATAAACTGGTTTGAACTAGTCATGTGTTGGTATATGTATATATTAACGACAAAGCTAAAACACAACTAAGGTATTGTTTGATTATTACATTCGCACTATGACGAACTATCGACCTTCTCTTTGACGTCAGAGTGACATACAACTTTAAGAGTGACTATTTGTTCTTAACATTTCTGCTTTACCATTTACTATTACAGGCTATTCATTAAACTTTATTCCCATTTATCTGCTAGACCATAACGAAAACAATAAGTAGTTGAATGATGGCTAATAAAGAATACATTAACATAAAAACTTCGATAGTTCTACTCATACATTTATTATTCAACGGTGACTGTCAACATATTATGATATCAAATTATAAATAAAACTCTCCACTGATTTACACTGAAAAGGGCGACACTGTTACACCCACTGTATAGCATTTAGTTTTTTAAACTAAGTTATATTAATATGGCATAAATGTATTGTCCAAATATTAGTTAAAGCTTTCCGATTTATGTATGTACCTATAAAATTTGTTAGTATAGTCTACATAAGCACTAATTACTATTTTATAACATAGAAGTTTAGTTAACGTTTGTCGCTGACATCAATCAATTAGCAATTAGCACAGATGTGAATGTTTCATATAATAAATATTATTCAAACAATTTTGTCCTAAGAAATTATTTCTAAAAATTATCGTTGCACTCACAAGTCTTACAACATTCCACTAAATTCAATCTATAGGAACCCATACTTCAGTTCAAGATCTAACAAGTGATCTATAAAGTCGCCGCATGTCGTGTCGGATCCGCAAAACACGCGCGAGGATTAGTACTATCATCAAGTCATGCATTGTTAGAGAAACAACAAAGATACATTGAAATTAAAGCAAACAATAAACGATGTCAAGCGTTGAAAGAAAACTTGGAAGATTATTAAGAGTATTAAATAAATAGTCACTTAGAAATAAAGACGGTATCGGACATAATAGAATAAGTTAGACCTAAATAGTTTCGTCAATTCATAAATAGACACCTAGCTTATAAATAACAATAAATAAAATCTTAAGGCACGTTTTTAGGTACCAAGATCACAATTTCATCATTCCTAACGTGTGTAAGTAGATGAAGGATTAGAGTTATGGAATGTCTGGTTACAGCTGAATCTCGTACCGACCATACGAACACTGTGCACTGTTGCAATCAAAACCCTTGATTACAGAAATATTGTTCTTCGGATTTGCTAAAGAAGTGAATTAATTTTATTCATAATCTTTATACAGTAACTTAAAATAACATAAGCGCATACATTTAAGTATTTCTGCATTGTGCAGAATAACAATACCGATACAATTTACAAAAAATATTCGTAAGTTAACTAAATAATATGCAAAATTTGCAAAAAGTTTCTTAAATTACTTAATAAATAAATTCCAATGAGGGTAAGTAAAGCTCGTTAACGACGAGCATATATAATATTAAACATTTTAATGTTCGCGGCCCAAGTATTTACATATCGTAGTCTGTCATACTCACTCTACTATTTACACGATCGATATTTACAACAGTGTCCTTGTGCACGTCCCGCGCGCGGTTTGTTCTCACACCGACCACATATTGTCAGCACTCACTCACTGCGCTAGCGATACCTATACGAGGTCGGGAGCACGAAGTCCCCGACCGAGTAGAGAGCGCTCGCGTACCAGTGCACGCCGCGCGGCAGCTCGTTGGACCCGCTCCACCGCGCCATCCACCGGAGTGGAGCCATCGCCGCATGCGCCAGCGAATGGCTGCGGACCATCGCGTAGCAAGACGCCAATGCGTCGTCCACGATGATTGTGCCAGTCCTTGTCAAAGGCGCGTACACTCCGCGCTTCGACAACATACGGGTCTTCACGACCCTGGACGGCCGCATGACATCGGCCGACCCTCTCGTCAGGAGTACGTCTCCGATCTGGACACTGGACGCGAACGACTCCCGCCAACCGTCAGCCGCCGCTAGCAGCAGTAGATGCGACGTAGTAGTCGTGATCGTCACACCATTCTCTGCTGTCACTTCAATGAACTGCCGCGTGGCGTTTGGATCGCGGTCGATGAAAGTTAATACCTGTAATTGAAATTATGGCATCCTTTAGAGAAAGTTGTATGTATTGAAACAAATAAAACTTAATTTAAATATATATATAGAATGCTTCAAGTTAATTAAATAAATTAAACTCTAGGTAAGGCGTGACCACAAAAGAATCATTTTTAGGTTACATAAAATAAGTTTACACACCTCAGAATAAACCATTTTGCCGTCGTCTGAAGCCGACAGCACTTTGTCTCCTATTTGTATCGTAGAAATATCACGGGGGCCCTTCTCTGTGTACACCATAGCTCCTCCAGGGAAACAACCAGCACCGGTTCCCGCGGAAGACTCTGTAATAGAAAATAGCAATAATTTACAATTTAAAACTGCTTTTCAATATAAATGAAGATACGCAGACACAACAAAATGTTATGCCAACACCCTGTAAACTAAAAGCAATAAAATAAAATTGAAAACATAAAATCGTGCAAGGTACGATAGTAAATTAGCTCGAAGCAGTCATATCCCTTTAAGGAATAACGAGATTTCTCTACGCCCGTAATTAAAATCGGATAAGATACGAAACAAAAGAGAGTCGCGAACGGCTCCCACTGTGCCCAGGTTATCGGCAAGTATAACCTACCAACCACTGAGTCCGAGTTTCTGTTTTAAATCCACTGTTAGTATGGACCGGCTCAGATATTATTCAGATACTCGTTTACCAAATTCTTTAATGAAGAAATGTGTTCCAGGAAATAGGAATTATAATCTCCTTGACAAACTTTTTAAACTCTAGATAAGTTAATTCAATCCGTTTTTCGAAGTCCTTTCTCTCTTTGTTTGTTAGAAAACGCTACCTACTAAAAAATCAGACAATAACCTGATTCGCCAAAACTTTGTTTGTACATTATCTAATAGTATTTACTTAAATCCCTGCCCAGCTTAAACTGTACCTGTTCGTAATCTTTTAAGTCGTTAAGGTACTAGGTTGCTCCAGCAAAAAAGTGTCTATTTACGTGCGAGTTAATGGTATCCAAAAGATAAATAAAAATGGCTTAACTTTTAAACCGAAATAAAAACGTGGCCAATGTTCACCGCCGCCACTGTTAGCTCGTTACGTTCTAACAATTACATTAACCGCCTATATTTTTAAGTGAACTTACTGTTACAGTGGGTGGTGCAATTACACGCGCAAATGAGCACGGCTAAAGATTCTCTGCAAAGCCTCCGGTTTGCGCGAACTCGTTAAATTTTGATTTGTTGTGTAACCGACCGATAAATTCACTCGATCCTTGTTCATGGACTGCTTTTAAAGTCAGGGGTTTGGAGCGGATCGCATTACACAATAACTACACAAATTAGATTTTGCTCAAAGTCAAGCGCTTATTGTCAACATGCATTTGTTGTCCGGTGAACATATCACACGAGGTATTGAATAGGCGTCGGACACCTTTGCGTTTTTGTACAATTTCGTTGGCGCGCCGCACATTTTTATTCATCTCTTATCTTATTATTATTTTTGGGGATCTCATTCATAATAGGGTACAGTAAATATATGTATGTATGGTTTACGGCAATCGTTGAGGTGAATGAAACCAGTAATTAATACTTTGAAATTATTTCTAAAGTATATAAACTAACGAACTATACATTTATAGTTCGTTAGGTACAGCGTGATCTAATATACAGTGGCAAAGATTTTATCTAACTTTTAATTCCCAGCCTTATTAAGCATCAAGTTAACGAATCCAAAGCCTTAAAACCAGTCAGAACGCGATTTCATAGTGACGTAAGTAACATTAGGCTGAAGATGCGGCGATAAGCGGCGAGGTTGCGGAGAGGGGGGGAGCGGGGGCTTGTGCGCCGGCGCAGCCGAGTGGCCGCGGAGACCCCGCCCCGCGGGGACCACCGGGAGAGCTAGGCGGCGCGCGCGCTGGGCCCCGCCGTCCGAGCCGCGTCGCGCGTCGGCCGGCCGCGCGTGACCATACATTACCAACTCGATAAAATATAAGCACGTGACACTATTAATAATTTATCTCGTCGATGCGATGGATGACATGTCCAACCAGCCTGATGTGACGCTTTTTCAGGTTTTCCTGACAGTTACATGATTATGAAATTTTCATTTATCAGAAGCGCGACATCCGATCCACAATATCGGATCCGAGCGCGATAAAAAGCACTTTTATTAATCGAGTTTTGCCTTTTGCTATAACTTTTGTTGTTGAGGCAATGTAGGGCTATCGAGATGCTCGCATGTGATCACTCGAACTATATCTGATTTATATCGTGTAGAATAGCAATTAGCCGACGCGTGGTCATGCAAATGCCAAACCGCGCTGGTTATGATTCATGCGCGGGCCGAAGCGCGTCGTATCTTACAATGTAAAAGAAAATAAATATGGGAAGGTTTATTTTATCTGTGGTAATAGGTGAGCGTGAGAAAACATTTTAAATTGTAGTGATCAGTTGAAATTTCCAGCTAGTTGTCAATATTTTAAACATCTTTTGTAACTGCATCACGCATTATTTGATTTTGTCACGCTGAATTATTTTAAAGCATTATTCAAACATTTGGAACATAAAATAAGCATTCTCATTGAAAAATTTCATACAGGTACGTAACAAGAATATATATCTACATATTTATATGTTTAAACAGGCAGGTAGATAAACACATTAAACGTATTAGTCTTTCAATAAATTAATATTTATAAAGTTGCCTCTCGAAAGACTGATCTAGCCAATTCGTAATTCACATGTGTGTCTATTGACGCAGTAGCTAAATGATTTAAGCGCCGAGTAAGCGACACTGACTATGATGCAATATGTAGCGTCTGGGATTGTAATGCGGTACTCCGATCTTAACGTTTGAATTTATTACCAACCTGTACTGAATTGACGACGCTGAGAACCTTTACTGAGACATAAAACGAAACTGAGTGCGAAAGTAAACTTGAAATATGATTAATATAAAATTATACGTTGGAATGATAATATACAACGGTCTGTAAGCTTGCACACTATGTCAATGTTAAATTGCAAAATATTGTTAATGGAATAAAAATAAATAACTGGCTTGTTAACTTAAATAAATATGAGGGGAAAACGTTAAAGCAAATATTCTAGAAGTATGTAGGTAACAAATACCTTTCTCCTAATTGAAATTAGAAACAGCCCGGTAACTCAAGGTTTGGAGAGGCAATGTTATTGTTATTATACGTTATATATTTCATATATCAATATTCATTTACAGCGAAAAGCGACCACATGTTCATTGATATAAATTCAAAAATCCAACAGAGATTGGTCTAAGATAATTTATGTAGTGTTTTGAAGTTCTACTCAATCAGTAAAGTGCGAATAATTACTGGGATTTTATGATAAGTTGATCAGTAATCGGTATGGTGCGGGTGTGGGAACTTTGGAGGGTTTAGCCGCAGTCTTCCGGGATGTGGCGGCTCGGATGTCGCGCCCTTCCAGCCTTTCGCACGCATGCCCCGCGCGCGCTCGACCGCGCAACATCGCTCACTCACGCTTCTATCCTCTACCTTACTTCTTACAAAAAATTATACTCATCTCCATCAACACATTTTTGTGCCATAACTGATGCAAGCTTCTTAAATCAACGCACTATGCGATATCATGCCCCACGCAGCACATAGTTAACGACCCCGTCGCGGTTTGAAAGTAATCGGGGTCTCTTTAAAATATTGTATCTCGACCAAAACAGATATTGTGTATATTTGTAAATTATTATTTGTATTTCAATTGTTTCTAGGGAATCCAAAAATTTATAATTCTGAAAAGAAAATGTGAACCAGTCATTCATAAATCATTTTATCAAAGTTTTGGCGTCTGCAATCGTTTGGATTAAATGTTTGGATTATAATTTGTTATAATAAAATTAGTTTTCCCATTGTTGTTGTACTTACATACACATAACTTATTTTCATTTCTCTGGTTACGTTTTAGTGCAATACTACAAACCTACATATGTTACACCTGTCATGATATTAGCATTTATAAACAAATTACAACTAATTCAATCTGTTTATCTAATTTTCTATAAACACCTCGCACTTAAATATTTATGTTCAGATATAAAATCTTTGAACACATGCCTAAAACTCGTAAACACGTAGCAACGTCAATTATGTCTAACAAACTTGCTAATTAACTTGATCTGGTAAATGACTTTTATCATTTAGTCTTCATAATTTGTGTTTGAGAGAAAAAACATGTATGATCGAAACGAGTTAAATGCTATGTCCATACTTGTTCGCTTTCAACTCTAGCGCCATCTTTAACTTAAATATTTTTATGAGACATGTGTTTATTGCGGCTCATTGCATGCAATTATGACTGCGTTAAAACTACTTAAACAATGGCATAAGCGGCATAACAAACCCAGCGCAACGGCTTAATAGATATATAATTATTTATTAAATAAATAGTCTACCACTTATTCATAAGCGTAGGTATGCCTTAATATATTACGCGGACCACTTAAATAAAAATGAATATTAGTAGGTGTAAAAGTCTTCATTAAAAAAACACAAGTTAGATGGATATCGTGTATGAATTTATTTTATTTTTGAGACGTAAGTTGTTATTAAACGTAATTGGTTATACAATTGTGTAAGGAGGAAAGATATAAAAATAAATGCTTTTGCCTATAATCCACAGACTAAAAATATATACCTATACGTATATGACTGTCTATGCATGAAAAAGAAAGCGTTTCAACAAAATGGTTCCAAATACTTCCTTCACATTTGAATGATTTACGTTGTTAAGCGAGGTAGGGTCCTCCATAAAACTACATGTCCATATCCTATTAAAAATTCGTCCTTCAGTAGATGCTAGGGTGGTGACATGTAGTGAATCGTGACCTGTCCCGTCGCCGTCGGTCACGCCCCATTTACCGCGAGCCTCTTTGGACCCTAACTGTTCATACGCTGCCCGAAGCATTGTTTAAATTCTTAGAATCGATTTAGAAGCAACACTTGTCACGATAAAAATCTACATTGATTTTATATCCCCATTACAGTGAGAAAGGCCAATAGAAATAATTTAACGTCTCGATTCTATCTGCCGCCGGCTTCAAAGAATTCGTAATCGTAGCAAAAAGTGAAAATATGAACGAATGCATCTTGGTCGATACATAAAACATTGCTGTATTAATGTCTTACTTAAGAATGCTATGTTGCACAACCACTAACTTGAGCCTAGCATCTGAGCATTTATTGCAACTGATTTTGTTTTTGATAAAACGAAACTACTTCAGTATGGAATACAGAATGGTAACATTTTACTACTGTGCCTCTAAACGTCTACTATAATAGGTTTAAAAAAAAACAAATAGTAAAGCAGTCAAATTATGTCCGCTTCAAGATCCTTGTAGGCGACTAATTTGGACACAAGTATTATGTAGTTTGACTAGATATATAATTTGTCTAAGTGCACGCCTAAACCGATGACGTTAGTAAGTATAAATACCACAAGGCAATGAACGGAATAAAAAAAGAATCATCACCGACCAATGAAATCAATTAATCGAGTTCCAACACAAAAAATTAACGCTCGGCATAGTTTTATTGGCGCCGAGTTGATCACTAAATGCTTTAATTTAATATACGAGCATATAATGGGCCTGTTTTTCTCTGTCTCTTTTTCATCCCATGCGATAGAGCGAAAAATGTTCCTGCCTTTAAATATTTATGACTATTCATTAAATTCTTTAGGTTTAGTATCTTTTTATTAAGTGTGGTATTATTGCACTTGTGTTAATTGTCTTAATCATTCCACATAAGGACGCTAAAAAATTACAAATAAGTAAGTATGGATAACGTTAATTGAACTTGTAAACATTAAATAGGTAAACCACAAAACTGATCAAGTATTATCATGAGACTAATGAAAACAAATGTGAAATACTGACATACAAATAGCACGTACTATTACATGTTATTTTTTTTAAGATTGACGAAGATTTGTTCATTTAAGGGGAGAGTATAAGGAGCGGTGGATGGTCGTGCGCGATCCGGCCTTGACCGCGACCAACAAAGAGCCACGACCGCAACACAAATACCTACACAAAGCACATTAATTATTTATAAGATCCAAATTAATACTAAAAGACTCGGATCGTACAAAACGCCGGAATAAATGAATAAACATCGAAACAAATTGCCTGCGACCGCGGGAGACTCCGTCGGATATCAGTGGTCGAGCTTTTGAAACAATGAATGCTCTTTATCGTTTTAGGATGACTTTAGGTATATTTTTTTTATATTTACGGCTTTTATTTGTTGCGTTATAAGGAGTAGGCACATGATCGATTTTAGATATCAACATTTTATCGCGGAACATATTAGTCAAGTAGAATAATACTGAACGTTTAATAAGATTGAGTTTAATGAATTATACTTAAAGCCAGAATTTTCTTTGGCTTCCTCCGAGATCACTAAGACCAATACATATGAAGAAACATAAGGAAGAAATATCAGATAGTCACAAATTTACGCATAACGCAAAACTCGTTCAAACATGAAATACATGTAGTTTTTAAAGATTGAAGGTTTATTAATATAAGTATGAATTTTGTTCCTTTCTTTGCGGTGGTAGTCTCATTACTTAATACGAGGCAATGAATGTAGGATTCTTAAAGAGCTACATTTTGGAAAGTTTCGTTTATGTGACGTGTCATCGACCGAAGGCCACAAGCTCCTACGGGCGTCACTGTTCGGAAGCAACTAATTATTTACTTATTTATTTAAATAATAAACCTTGAAGGTTTCCTTTTTAAACACATTGCGTTATTAATTCGAAGAGAAAATCAAGCTAAAAGAATTGTATTTTTATTCCCACACGAGAAATATGTGCACTTGATAAGCCAATAAACTCCGTATATGGGCCTTATAATAATGACCAATAATTGTAAGATCACCATTTTACCCCTAAAGAGATGGAAATATTCAAATAAATAATAATCATTCAGTTATATTTACGTCTTTAAAAGCAAATAACACAATTGTTTACAGTATTACCGATAGATATTTATTCAATATTAATGTGAGTGCTACTATTGGCATAGAATTAATGACTTCATGAAAGACGTAATCGTAAATAAATAGAGAGGTCCTCTAATCATTAAGATCTACACAAGTCTGAACAACACAATTATTAAAGTTACACAGAAACTAATCCTTCACACTTAAATGAAATGCGCAAGAACTTGCGTCAACTTATACACTTAGCGATCCGCTAAACACTTTTATAATAAACAAAGACATATTGAATTTGGATATTTAATTATCTTAAAATAAAAAACCTGTACTTAAATAATAAGTTTCACTAACTTTTAATTTAAAAAAATTAATATAAATTTATAAGGAATCGTTAATCAAAAACATTGAACGTTTGAACTTCTGAAGTCCTGAACACTATGCCAGTTATCTGCGAAATTAATTAGAACTATGCGAACGCGCCGGAATGCCTCCATAATATCTAAAAACACAAGCATACATATAAATACGCGCTTCTCTCATCGTTATGCCGTATACATATATATAGATATAAGTAGCCATTGAATCACCGGTGTAATTATAGAAGTGGGGGATTGGCTGCGATGCGGCCGTGTGCGCAAGAGACGATTATAGTTTTCTCGTCGTGTGTGAACGAGAGGGATGCTAACAAGAGGCTCGTTCGTCCGTTTGATCGACACCGCCGGGGCGCGGGCGCGGGAAGCTGTCTGAGATGCATTCTTCTTGTAAAGTTCAACTATATATTTGGCCGGTCCCGAAGCTTGTAGCCCACATTGTACAGTTATGTACCCGTAATTGAAAAGCACTCGGCTTTTCCCGTGCGACAATTTTTAGCACCTCAGCCGCGTTAAACGTAAACTAGTGTAAACATTTTCAGGGAAACCACAGTTTTCTTTCGGCAGCGGCACGTAGGCACTACATTAGTGAAATATGTCTAATGCCATATTACAATAACATATTGGTCTAGTATTCCAGCACTGATTTAACACATTTGTGGATTTTCTTTTCGGAAAATCCCTCTTCATCGCAAATGGACGTATATTACAATGACATAATCTCTTCAGTGCAAAAAACAACAAAGGCATTTACAAGTTATATATGACTTTAAATTAGCAAAATCGTACTAACCATTAATGTTAATAAATATGATAATGACAACCACAAAACAAACACATTTTCCAGATATTTTATACAAATTCGATCATTAAATATTACGAAGAAAAAACTAAATTTGCCATAGGTATATTGTGTTCATATGAAACTAGTTTAAACCAATAATATTATACAAACATTATATCGAATCGAAATAGTTCCTTTCAATAGGGCTACGAACGATGTGTCGCACCGTCATACAAAAGACTTAAACGCATTTGTGTGCAATATGATAGGGAGCGCGATTATGAAATCGTTTGTTGTCGTAACTGGTACAAACTTTTTGATTTTGTTAGTTTGAATATTTATTTTGATTAAAATTCAATATTTATCAAAGATGGCCAAACGATGTCATAGGGGTCATAATATTATACTAATAATTGCAATATTTGCTTTAAAGTTCATACAGTAAATCAGAAAAATACCTGTCTTGACGGAGCAGTGTATGTACGATCGACTTTCATAGTAGACCCAGTCGAAGCCGGCTTCCACTGCTAGTCTCGCGAGCATGCCGTACTTGGAGCGGTCGCGGTCACTGGTGGTGAGGTCGACTGCGCGGCCCTCGTAGTGTAGAGAATTTTCTAGATGCGAGTTCTCCTCGTCCCACCCTTCGATGACACGCAGCCGCACACCGGGCCACTGGTTCATCACGCTGATCGCCAGCGTGTTCAGCTTCTCTTTGCATCTCTGGAACATTACACCTTCAAACTTCAATCTTTGCTAATACTACAGACATAAAATCTCCATACGAAACAATGTTATGAATAGAAATGCTACATTTTGAACAACATTTACGTAAGAGAGCACAGACCCGACTTTAGAATCAGTATTTCTATATACTCCTTTCGCCCGAAGATTGTAGACGCCCAGACATAAACAATGATTCAACAACGCACGCGTTTACAACGTTTACAGAATTGAAAGGAACGCGAATATCCGAGCATATTGTAACAATTTAAGCTCCACGTGTTAACAGCCCAGAGCAAACATCATGATATCTAATATTTACATCGCAATTCGCGTCGACCACCTAAAAGGTCCGTAAGTGGAGTGCGCACTCAATGCACCTCTAAGAAACAATATCGACGCTCTAAAGACATGCGAAACTTTTTGTTTGCACCTACTAAAGAAAATCCCAATAGAAGTGCTAACAAATCGACAAACGCCGCCGCCCCAGCACCAACGCCTCACAACACAGGATGTCGGACGTTTGTCGTCAAAGAATAAATCAAATTACACACGCTGCACAAAAGGATCCACACGATTTGTTTGTGAACGAGCTCCGCGGGACGAATGAGGGAAATGTCAAAATATTTATAAAGAAATGCGGACAATGCTGGAGGCACCGCGTGGCGGCTTTGTTGCGCGATGTCAACTCACTCTATGCAGATTTGTGTGTAAAAAAATCCGAGATTGACGTAACGAATCGAGGCTAGGAACCGGGCCGGGCGCCCCGCCTGGCTGGTGTATCCGACCACATTCATGCGACAGATAGTTTCGAGCACCGTATATAATTACTTCTACGAACGTTTCAACCGCCTAATAAAGAGTTGCGAGAACTGCGACATATTTAGCATCGTCGGCCATGCTTTTATTTTTTGACATTTCACGGTATCAAAATTACTCGTGTAAGGGGAAAGAACTTTTTTCTTGGTGCAAATAATTTAATGTAAGTCTTATTAAATGATGTCGAAAACTAAGCTACAAGAATGACAAAGACATCGGTGTGAAGTGCGAGGGAGATCGTGGAGCTCGCTCAGGAAGCTCAATGTTTGCTTCTCCGCAGACGTCTCGGTCCGCACTAAAACAATCGAATGCTAAATGCTTGTATAAACACTTGCTGCATTTAAACGTGGGAACACATCGCATCGGTGGCGCAATTAAGCATCTCTCACCATGGTAACACCAACATTCTTTCTTGGGCAACCTTAAACAGAATGAGTTAAATTGTATCTTGAGAAGATATATTTCTTAACCTAACAAAATGCCAGTTTTGTATAAGCTTTAGCCAGACACGAATTTGTAAGTACATTCGTTGAGAGTAGTTTGGAGCATTACTGAGATGGGTTTGGAGGGGCGAGGCGACATAGCAGGCCCGATAGGCTATTATAAATTCATTATGCATATTTTTAGTAAACAAGCTGTCGATCACAATGCTCACGCGCAACGGGGAGCCCTGCCTCCGACACCTCGCCCTGGCCCGGCCGATACCTACGTACCCTAATATTACGATTATCATCGACTCGGGTATGCTCTTACATATGTATACCATGAACTTACACATCCAATAAGATTCGTATATTAAACCAGTTTTTATGACCAAGTCAATTTACGTAAATTTATTTTCGCAAATTATCAAATTACACCACATCAAAAGCTCATATTCAATTATATTGATTAACAAAAAATATAACAAGCGTATCGAATACCTAAGGTCAAGTTTTGAAGCAAAACTCCAAGCTACCTGAACCGGTGGCGACCGAAGCACTTGCGGACGCATAATGAAGGCCGCTCGATGGAACTGAGGTAAAAATGGAATAAAAACTCTCAGGATCATCGCACTGAAACAGCGGCTGCAGTAACGTGAGAACGCCGAGTGCTGTCTGCGGCCCGAGACTGCGCTTACACTTGCACGCACACAAATTATTAGATACCAGTGCAACCCTAAATACCACTTAAACCACACGACGAACTCATAATATTTCATATTACTTAAATGGTTGTTTCATACTTTCGGAGAAGCCAACCTGGCATGGCGCATCACCATTCGCCACCTCGTCCTAGCAGGGACTTACCGCTAATTTATAACCACCTCCCTCCGCGACCATAACAATATATTAGGATAATTAAATGGCTCTTTACATTCCTTAACACATAGTTTTTTCTACAAGGCCACTGGAGTCGAAATGCCGACCAATGCTGACTGGTTTTTGATGTCCCGTTTTTTGTCTTTTTGTGGAAACCACAACAAATAGTTTAAGGGCATTTTTTATGATGCCGAACATTTTGTTCACGCGAACCCACAAGATCTCTACACGAGGGTGTTGGGTAAGGGTTCACACAGGCACCGTAGACATGTTACCTGTATCGCAAAGTTTGTATGAAGAATGGTATTTCTATCATTAAGAACAATGTGTAAAATGTGTTTACCTTTACTGACAATATTTATCATAAGATTAACATTGTAAACATTTTGTAAAGTGTAAACATTGAAATTTAATGCCGGGCCAAGTACATTTATTATTGTCGCAGATCTGTTTAGCCGGCCCGACGACTTAAACGGCGCACAAAATCATTTAAGCTAAAATAAGACCACTTAATGCTTGATTTTTATAGCCTGCCTTATTTCCCACCATACTAAAGCAGGTATACTCGCAAAAATGACGCGTTCCAAAAACGAATGGTTGAGTCAAAGCTTAATAACCTTTTCGATGATACAAAGTACAAATTAGGCGGCATAATGCCCTTGTATCAAACTAACACCTTGTCGTTACGGCAATGAAATATTTTTTTCGGATTGGTGGATGGTAGTGTTGGGAGGGACCATGAATGATTTCTCACAGATCGTTTTGTTTAGTCACAAATAGCCAGAGAAACCGCAACGTGTGAATCACTAGCCCAGGCGGCCATTTTGATTTTTTTCTTTATAACCTGTATTAGATTGACTAGGTGATTATATAGTTGCAGCTACGGCCCGACAATATAGGTAGAGCACGAACTGGGTCGATAAATTTCCTAATTATATAAGTAACTTATATTTAATTATTGAGATTCAATAGTATTTACTGTCTTAGTCGTCACTACTCAAATGTAAAGGATTAGTCTATCCTTTTTAGTCCCTGGCTGCCCTTGCTGGGCTATTTGTTATGTCTTCATGTGCAAGCAAATACTACAAATGTTAGCTAACACAATTCCTAATGTCTTACTAGCTGTCGAAGACATCATAAATATGCATCGTGTGGGTGCATCACCTGTCTGTCGTGTTTAAAACCCTTTATTGTTTGTCCACGAAAAATATCACCCTTTGTTTTCTTAATGCGGCTGTCGTCAGTACAGCCACAGCCAAGCCGGTCTAACACATACATTCTTCTTAATTCACTCACAAGCACTCGTCTCTAACGCACTTTGAAATATTGCCAGCTGTAATCGCCTCGACTCGTTAGCAAATTCTATTTGTGAGCAAGAAATCATCATGAGAGGTGCTTAAACATTTATCTCTTACTTATATGGAATACCAACCTTTATAAAATGATAAAATCAATGTCGATCGACGATAAAGTTTGTAGGAAGATGATTGATTGATATTTAAATAGGAAGTGATCAGAACTCAACGTTAGTCCTCAATTAGGGATTCAAACAAATAAGTTTTACCGGCACTTGTGCTCGTTTCTAAGAGGTTTTTTTCCCATTGAGGGCTATATTCCGTATGTAAAGGCGTGCTAACGAATACAGTCCACAAGGCTTTTAAGGAGACGCGGGTGCCTTTCACTATGTTGGAAAAAACTTTTGAAACAAGACACCGATATGCGGTGTTTGCTTGGGCCAGAGACCTCTGTTAATGAAACGTTACACTTCATTCACTCAACTGGAGCACCAGACATAAGGTAGTTTGCCTTTGTACCTGTGTTAGAACAACCTGAAAAACAATTATCTCCCTCACCGTTTGCCTCCGAGCCGCTGTCGCTGTCATGTTTGTCATATTATTAATAATAACATGTCGTATTCTCTCCAACATAAATACGTATTGGCTTTGTGATTAATATAATGCTCCAGTGAATTCACGTGTGCATTTCGTAAATCCTAAAATTGTTGCTAAGGAAAGTACCAAGTAGATGACAATGGGCCATCTTATTTACAAATAATTGGTTCCAGTCGTGCTTGGCACCCTTCATTACCCCTGGGGCCGATCTGTAAAGTTCTGTCTTATGTTGCGTTATTGTGTTTACTGTTGTTAATGCCCACGAGACGGATGTTGTACTATAATTTATATTATTGTGATCGCTAAGTCTGGCTGACGCGAGGTCAATGGCGGAGTCAATGAGAGCATGCTCACTAGTTGCAAGTCATTCTTATGAGCGATGGAATCCACGCTTCCGACATCGATCAACTTTGTATACCATTGCTTTGTTTTCACCGATCTCTTTGCATAAAAGTTATATTCATACCTACAATTTTAATCTAAAGTAAAAATAAATATATATTTATTAAATCGTGTTTAAAAAACACGAACAGAATGTAATGTGACTATTAACAATGTGTCGCCTAACAGATTTCTTTATAAAAATTTGATCTACTTTCCTGCCAATCAAGTTCATTTTGCATGTTAAGTCTAATAGATTCTACTAAACTATGTTAACTTGAGCTCAAAAGCCACATTATCATGAGAAAATACAAATCAGCAGTTTAGTATAGTGAGAGGGTTAGAAGCGGCTCGTAACTACGCACTTTGCCTGTCGCTACATCGTCGTAAATACCATACCTGCTAAATCGCGGAAGGCTATAAACATTAACTGGCGTATCGCGCTAATTTCAAGCGTCAACCCTCGTCGACTTGATAACTGCTGTTGATCGATTTGCATCCGTAATTACGTCACTTTTAGCGAGCAGGTGATGAAAACGCGACAAGTACGTGATTGCGGGAGGCGATGCACGCCCCTTCCGACACGACCGGTTGAGAGCTTTTAACT